ATTCCAAACATAGATATTATGCCAAAAAAAATTTAATAATATGTTTGATATATAGTACAATACTAATCTAGGCCTTTTTTGAGAGATGGAACTTCCTAATGTATGTCTCCACTGAATTTATGCTGTGAGGTGATTTTTCATGTTTTATTAGTAAAACAATCGTTTGATACTTTGATACATATCTTTAATTACTAACTGAAGCTTTGAGATTCCAAACATAGATATTATGCCAAAAAAATAAATAATAATGTGTTTGATATATAGTACAATACTAATCTAGGCCTTTTTGAGAGATGGAACTTTTTATTTTTGGTGAAATGGAACTTAATGGACATTTAGTTGCAATATAACTATAAGAAGACATTTTTAATTACTTGTAATGAAACGGTAGATGTTGCGGATATTATCATGCACATATATATATATATATATATATATATATATATATATATATATATATATATTTTATGATCATCATGCAGTGATGTGGCAATAGTAAGACCTCGACAAAAACACACATAAGAATCTAAAGAACTACGAAGCAAACTTGACCTAACTATCCCATCTCCAATTTCATTTTTAAACTATTTTAACTTTTTCACTATATTAACTTTTTCACTAAATTTAATTAATATAATTTTATTTGTTAGGATTTGGATCCAGATACGTTTAAAAGTTGTCTTTCAAATGTTTGGCTGCGGTTTCGCACGCATAGCTTAATTTGGCTCCTTTAAACATGACCCATAAGAGACTTAAGTGTAATTTAATTAGTAAAGGCCAATTATATAAATTAAATTAAAAACTATATATTATACGTGAGGAATGAATGTCCCACACTCTCTTCTTCCATTTATCTTTAACTTTATGATGTATGTGTCTTGCATGGTTTTTTCTTTTGATATATTTGGTGAGCGTACGGATAATTTTGGATTGGTCCCAGAAAAAAAGTGTATTTTGTTGTTATAAAAAAAAAAAGAAGTTGTATTTGTAGAGGTTGAAGTTGTTCTACGGAAGTGTTACGTGTGTTAGATAGATAATACAGACGTTTGATGGAAAAAGAAAACTTATTATTTTATATATAGGAGATGATATGATATGAGATATGCATGCACTTGTGTGATTTACGTACATGTGCTTACACATATATGACAAAAAATACGTAATATATAATTTGGAAAGAGAGGTCTTGACCCATGTGCTATAGACAACTCGACGCAATCTCTCAACCACAACACACTAGAGACCCTTATTATTTCCCCGAACTAACTTCCACGACTGTCTTTTTTATTCGAGTGCAATTGTTTAATACGTTTTTGTACGTAAAGCTTTGGAAATGACTCATACATATCTCATCAATTCATGTCTACTAGCTAACTAGTTAGAGAAAAAAAAAAAAGATATCAAGATAAGTCATTGGCTAGTTTAGATATCTAAATAGTTACATGATATGGATTTGTTTACATTATCGTGTAACCGAAGAACTAATAATAATCGACGGCCTGCCAAATTTCAAATGACGTTGTAATTAACGCATATGTAAATTTCTCCACATTCTTTTTTTTTTTCTTTTTTTTCTCGAATAAAGCATATACTTTGTATTGGGACCTTTCCTCATGGGTCCATACTTTGTTTTGTATTCAGAAAAAGAGTTCAAAACGATAACAAAAGTATTATTAAGCAATTTTAAAACGATACAGTTCGTGTAGTTGTTTCGCTGAGTCGATTTATTATGCATAATAAAATATTGAGTAATGTGTCAAATCGGAACTGATCATTAGTCATTTACGTGTTTTTAATTTTTATTATATTCGTTTCACTTCATACATACATTCATCTAATATTTCGATATTAACAAATCAGAGCACAAAAAAGAACGACTTTTTGTTTAATAGCAAATTGATTGGTGATTTCGTAAGGTTAGAAATTTAATTATACTGGTCGGTACGATTTGATCGAAACAAGTTACAGTGTTATGCATTAACACTGAGAGATCCTGTCCAAAATAATATATATGTACTGATATACACACATTAATACATATATGTAGAAGCTTTTGAGCAAACCTTAATCAACAAAACGATTTGATTTGTTAATACTTAACAGAGAATATAAGATTCTATCTTAAGTCTTAATCCACACATGAACACAGACTAATACAAATGACAACATCATGCACTAATACAAATTACTTTCTTTTTTTTTTTACTAATACAAATTACTATACTACACCATGCATCTGATTAAAATACAATATTTTTTTTCGTAGAGAAGATTGGTATAGGATCAATACCCTCGAAAACGATAGATATTAAAAGTGTTGATGATCAAAAAGCCAATTGTGTATCTATGAAAATCTCCTTGCGTCAATGAATTTAATCGGTTCCCTCTTAATGCCTTATCGCGTCATAGCATGCACACATATAATGCTTTAAGAAAGTTAAAAAAAAAAAAAATTAATATAAATCCTCTCTTTAGTATATATAGTTTTATCTTTTATCGTTATAACAGATGTAAACTTAATCTCTACCGTAAACCTCGCGATAATCAATAGATCTTTAACCCACACAGAAAAAAGAAACGTGAATATTTTTTCCCATTAGAACTCTTGCCATCAAATTAACCATGCATGACTCATTTGTGTTGACATTGTTTTCCAAAATAAGCATGTTTGATTATATTTGACTACCAGTACGGAATACACACATATATCATATATGTTTTGTTATAAGTTTTGTTACGCTCTATGATACGAAAGTAGGCAGAATATTCTTCGTTTTTTTTTCACTTTCCATTAATGCAAGATTTTTGCATGTTTTATCAATCACCAAATCGGTCAATTAGACTACGGGGAAAATTGCATATACACGCATATCTGCTTACGTCCACGCATAGGCCATAGCATATCATCTCTTTTATAAATACCACCAACCTAGCTAGCCAGTAAAAAAACATCACAATTTCGTTAATATTTTTTCGAGACAATTGATGGGGAAAACAAAAACATATATACTATCAATTAAGCAAACAAAATTTGAAGTGAGAAAAGACAAAAACCAACTGTGTATAAAGCCAAAACATAGATGATGGGTCCATAAAAGGCCGAACCTCCACTTCTATTACTATATATATAACGATTTCCATTGTTTAAAAAAAAAAAAGATAATTATTCCCATAATAACCCAAAAAAAAAAACATATCTCAAAGTGGTAGGCCCTTTTCCTTCATAATTTTTCTCATTTTTTTCCACCATATGACACCCTTCACTTCAACAACAACACACACACTTCATATCACACTGTTGTTATGTGACCTTTTTTAGTCACCACCAAATTATTGTTAGCCCAACATTAGATACCTTTGATAATATATATATATTTTTTTTTTTGACGGAGAACCAGTTAATATTTGATAGATTATTTCAATATTATTACACTTTTACTTTTGTTGTTGAATTAGCACATCAAAATTTTAAGAAAATATGGTTACCTTTGATAGAAAGCTATTCGTTCGGATTGAGTTTTTGTATCAAGACCAAACCCTGCATTATTCCCTCATAGTTTTCAGACGTACAATCTAATATTATTCCAGTCAAACTTGAAAAAAAAAAAAAAAAAAAATCGAAACTCAGAAATCAGATTATGTTTTAGCTGTCTTAAGTAGACGCACGACTATATATATTACTATGTATACAATTAAAGTACACTAAACGAGCTACTACGCAAGTATACAACAAGCGTCAAGTTAGGTAGCCACTCGTGCTCATCTGCATATCTAGGAGTACTGGAGTAGCAAGTAAGATGTCATACGCGCGACCAATTTAGTTCTACTATATATATATATGCACAAATTGAGAAAAAGAAGAGCCAAAGCAACTGATTAGCCTAGTTTGAAACGACGTATAGTTAACGTTTGTGCGTTGTTTTGTTGATGCGTCTGAATCTCTCTACGAAAAATGCATTACGGATATAAGAAATTTTGACATTGTTTATTGGTACGAAAACTACATATGTATTCGATATTTATGGTTATTTTTTCATTTCCATGTAATAGAAAGGGAGGTTGCATACAAAGCTGTTGAAAGTATTTGAGGGTTTGAAGCTTATTGCATGTGTGTTGGTAAAAACCCTAACACGTTTTGAAAATATACAAATCTTCTTACATATTATAAAAGGACAACAAAACGTCGAGAGTATTCGATTTGATGATTCTCAAGTTAAATTTAGAAAAAATTGGATGTATGAAATATATTGTCGTCCACTTATACAATAAAGTTTGAAACATGGATGCATGAAGGCTAGACTTCCAATGTCTAGAAATATTACATAATGCTTGTGGTAGGGTCTTTTCATTATCATGTCTCACTTCTTCTTTTTTCTCTTCATCCCTCATCTTTAACGTTCAATATAAATTTTACTCTTCGCCAATATAATTGTTGTTTCTTTCTATATAAAACAATACTAATTTATCTACTTTTAAAAGAAAGAAAATTTTTGAGCCTCAAGATTGTAATAATGTGTCATAAGTTTGACTTCAAAATTAAGATCCATTTAAACGCGAAAATCATTACCATTAATTACATAAAACTTTTGTGCACGCAATCGATTCAGACACAAGGACCGACCAATTCGAGAACAATCAATGAATGGTGGTTATGATTCGTCCTTACAAAAGCTCTCATGATAGCAAACCCGATGTTGTTGGTTAAGTCATACCCGGTTTACTTAAACCAAACGAGTGCATCTTGCTACGGCGTTTGGATAAAGATTCTGATTTCTGAGTGAAAAACAATTCGGCTGCAAAGCCCAATAAGCCTATATCTACCTAAAAAAGTATAAAACTTAAATCGATTAAGTAATGGGCCGAATTGTGTTGGCCCATAAGGATGATATATGAAGGAGGAGGGTCCAAAGTAATTGCATAGCATAAATATTTTAATTAAAACCATATATTCGACGTATTTTTAACGCTCACTGGTTTATTTAAGTTGAGATTTTTTGTGTCTCATACGAAAAGAAAAAAATAAAATCCATCGTGAAACGTTCGAAGGCCATTTTCTTAGGACTACCATATCGGCGTTAAGGAGAAAGCTTAGATCTCGTGCGGCCTTGTTTCTCCGGTAAGATTATTCCGCCGATTCGGTCTCTATCGTTCTCCGTTTACTGATTCTTCTGTTTGAATTCCTTTCCCGCGATCCGGATCCGTGTGTAGTTTACGGCTCGCCATTTCCAGATCTGTCGTGTTTCTTCCGTTTTCTATCATCAGTGGATGTGTTTTCTTGTGGTTCGCTAGTTTCTAATGCTGGATCTGTATCTTGCGTAGTGGAAATTCAAATTGATTTTAGTTTATTCTTTCTTTTTCCCTTCAGATCAAGCTAAGCTGTTCTATTATAATCTCGTCTTGTAGTTGTTGATTGTACGCAATTGTAGATCTTAGATCTTGATTCGATCCATAGAATTGAGAATATGAATTTTTTGATGTAGGTCCGCGATGGTGCTTTAATCTATAGATGATTCCTCAAATTGCGTTTTGCAATTATTATTTCTTTGATTCAGAGCTTCCCTTGAATTGAGAAATGTGAATTTTAATCTGATTATGTGAACAGGCTTGGAAAAAATGGGTTTGTCCTTTGGAAAGCTGTTCAGCAGGCTCTTTGCGAAGAAAGAGATGCGTATTCTGATGGTGGGTCTCGATGCTGCTGGTAAGACCACCATCCTGTACAAGCTCAAGCTTGGAGAGATCGTCACCACTATCCCTACCATTGGTGAGTAGTAACTTTTATCTTATACCTGATTTGTTTTGTCGAATATTTCACTTGTTTTATATGAGAAGCTGAATTTTCCTCTTTGTTTTTAGGGTTCAACGTTGAGACTGTTGAATACAAGAACATTAGCTTTACCGTGTGGGATGTCGGGGGTCAAGACAAGGTATCAATTGTTCCTTTTCTTTATTATGCAAGCTTTGTTAGTTGTCGATCATCCAATAATGATGTCATCTGTTAGAAAAAGGTTTGCTTATTAGGTTCAGTGTGTGTATTATTTTTCTATACACACACTCTACATTTGATAAGCTAAATCAGTTCAGCTGGAATTTCAAACTCTCCTTGATCCTCAAAGAGATGTCTTTTTCTTGCTTATATTCCCAGATTAGCACCTTTTTCTTTGTGGACTATGTTTTCTCATTTGGGTCCTGCTTGTAGAACTGATAGAACTTTTACTAATCTAACAACCTCTTTCTTCTGCTCATTTAGATTCGTCCATTGTGGAGACATTACTTCCAGAATACACAGGGACTCATCTTTGTTGTTGACAGCAATGATCGTGACCGTGTTGTTGAAGCCAGGGATGAGCTTCACAGGATGCTCAATGAGGTATTCTCACTCAACACTTGCCTCTATGCCTTTGTATAGCGGCCACAGACCATATGGTTGTTTTACTTTGTGATGTTTTACTGGCAGGATGAATTGAGGGATGCAGTTCTGCTTGTTTTTGCTAACAAGCAAGATCTTCCCAACGCGATGAACGCTGCTGAGATAACCGACAAGCTTGGGCTCCACTCCCTCCGCCAACGACACTGGTGAGTTAAAAAACACAGAACTAGCTTTTCTCGATACACATTCTATTATTACTCATGGCATGTGAGCTCATGTGATCATTGTAATGACAGGTACATTCAGAGCACATGTGCCACCTCAGGAGAAGGTCTCTATGAGGGACTTGACTGGCTCTCCAACAACATCGCAAACAAGGTATCAACTACTATCTACTCTCTCTTGTAGCAACTCCAATTTTCGTTATAATCTGAGTTTGACACACTTAAATGTCTCCATGATTTGCAGGCATAGAAGGGATGTTAGCCAGATTCCTCTTTTGCTTTTGTTTGGTTTATATAAATCAAAGAAGGGATCTGTTTCGCTAGTACTAAAAGATTTATTATTATATTCTTCTTCTTCGTCTCTTATCTCAAACTCAGATCGTTTCACACTTTTGTATTTTCCCTTTAAATAACTCGTTACTTTTCGCCTCTTATTGCCGAAGTGAGTATATCATCTTTATCTTATCTTTGCATCTGTATCTCGAAACAAAAATTGAACAGTCATTTCTGTAAGCCGGTCGGTTCATATCTTAGAAATGAAGGTGACTGTTTTTTGGAATATTTTTATTTTTTACGAAGATACAGGCAAAAATTATAGATACACGAATTATAGAGATTAGACAATAAGAAAACGAAATCAAATCACATGTCAAAGGCGGCCAATGCATTTAAAACCAGAGAAAGCATGTGTGGTTGTTGACCGGACACTACCACTCACTGCCCGGGGAAAAAAACTCACCTGATTAACTGACAAATTTAACACCTGATCACATTCAAGAGCGGTGATAAACGACTTCAGATTCACCAGATCGGCCTCTGTTTCGACAACACCTACAGGTTTTTTTTTTTTTTTTTTTTTTACCTACAGGTTTCTTGTAGTCCAAGGAAGAGTGATCCTTGTAATTGTCTCACCATTTGTTCACTAGCATTTTTATGTCTTCTCTGTCCATGTTGGCTTCCTATTTTTCCTTCGCGGTGTATCTCCACGGCTTTGAACCCTATTAACGAACACAAAGTTTCAGAAATTCATTGTTTTGAAAAACAATAACAAAACCGGGAACAAATATATCTTACCGCCGCACAGTAGTGCACCACCTTGACTTTATCAAGCTCCACATTTTCTGGGTGGCGCCATAACATCGCAAGGACGAGACTGTAGACTAATGGAATCTGCTTGTAGATTTTCTTGAAGTACATGTTCAGAAAATCCTGCACAATCAAATCCACAACTTAAAAAACATATGTAAATAGAGCATAAAGGAGATAAAATGCGAAAAAATAGTTTGTTAGAAAACTTTTTAGCGGGAATAATTCAATTTTTCATTTTATTGACTTAATTAATTTTCAATTAGGGATAAAATGTTTATTAAAATTAGAAAAAGGTAAAAATGAAAATGTTTTAAAAAATGATAATTTATTTTTGCCAATAAAATATTATGAAAAAGGTATTAGTAAGAATTTTTTTAATAAAAAAATGTTCCGTTACAAATTAGAACATATTCGTAAAAAGATGGTTAACAAAAATAATTAAAAACGAGGTAAGTGAAATTGACATGCTTCTGCTTGGAGTTATTTGTTTTGGATGTGTCAATTTGATAAGAAAATATATCCAATTTAAAAAAAATGTTCCGTTACAAATTAGAACATATTCGTAAAAAGATGGTTAACAAAAATAATTAAAAACGAGGTAAGTGAAATTGACATGCTTCTGCTTGGAGTTATTTGTTTTGGATGTGTCAATTTGATAAGAAAATATATCCAATTTTAAATGCTTTGATTTGTGTTTTTAAATATCGTGCTTTTTTAATCTCCTATCATATCGTTAATTAATTGGTCAACATGCATTCTTATTACTAGAATCTTTATTTGCTCTATCGATGCAACAGATACCTTATCTTATCATTTTCGTTTTATTACTTACTAATATCTAATATATGTGTCCACTGAAAAAGTGTATTTGTAGAAGTTGAAACAATTCTCCGGAAGTGTTACGTGTGTTAGATATATATAATGGTTATTTTCATTTCCATGTGGTAGAAAGGGAGATTGCATACGAAGCTGTTGAAAGTATTTGAAGTTTTGAAGCTTATGTATGTGTGTTGGTAAAAACCCTAACACGTTTTGAAAATATACAAATCTTCTTACAAAAATTAAAAGCACTTGAAATAAAAACATCGACAGTATTCGGTTTGATTCTCAAGCTAATGTTACAAAAAAATATTTGGATGACTGAAATATGTTGTCTTCCTCAAAACTTATACAAAAATGAAATATGTTGTCGACCACTTATACAATAAAGTAAGAAACATGGATGCATGAAGACTAGACTTCCAATATCTAAAAATATTTCATTATCATGTATTCATGTCTCACTTCTTGTTTTTTCTCTTCACCCCTCATCTTTAACGTTCAATATAATTTTACTCCGCCAATATAATTGTTGTTTCTTTCTATATAAAAGCATACTAATTTATCTACTTTTAAAGAAAGAAAAATTTGGAGCCTCAAGATTGTAATAATGTGTCATAAGTTTGACTTCAAAAAGATCCAATTAATCATTACCATTAATTAAATAGAACTTTTGTGCACGCAATTGATTCAGACACAAGGACCGACCAATTCGAGAACAATCAATGAACGGTGGTTATGAACTTATGATTCATCCTTGCAAAAAACCCGATGTCGTTGGTTAAGTCATATCCGGTTTACTAAAACCAAACGAGTGCATCTTGCTACGTCGTTTGGATAAAGATTCTGATTTCTGAGTGAAAAACAATTCGGCTGCAAAGCCCAATAAGCCTATATCTACCTAAAAAGATATAAAACTTAAATCGATTAAGTAATGTCCGAATTGTGTTGGCCCATAAGGATGATATATGAAAGAGGAGGGTCCAAAGTAATTGCATAACATAAATATTTTAATTAAAACCATATATTCGACGTATTTTTAACGCTCACTGGTTTATTTAAAGTAGAGATTTTTTTTTGTGTCTCATAGGAACAGAAAAAAATAAAATCCATCGTGAAACGTTCGAAGGCCATTTTCTTAGGACTACCATATCGGCGTTAAGGAGAAAGCTTAGATCTCGTGCGGCCTTGTTTCTCCGGTAAGATTACTCCGCCGATTCGGTCTCTATCGTTCTCCGTTTACTGATTCTTCTGTTTGAATTCCTTTCCCGCGATCCGGATCCGTGTATAGTTTACGGCTCGCCATTTCCAGATCTGTCGTGTTTCTTCCGTTTTCTATCATCAGTGGATGTGTTTTCTTATGGTTCGCTAGTTTCGAATGCTGGATCTGTATCTTGCGTAGTGGAAATTCAAATTGATTTTAGTTGATTCTTTCTTTTTCCCTTCAGATCAAGCTAAGCTGTTCTATTATAATCTCGTCTTATAGTTGTTGATTGTACGCAATTGTAGATCTTAGATCTTGATTCGATCCATAGAAATGAGAATATGAATTTTTTGATGTAGGTCCGCGATGGTGCTTTAATCTGTAGATGATTCCTCAAATTGTGTTTTGCAATTATTATTTCTTTGATTCAGAGCTTCCCGTGAATTGAGAAATGTGAATTTTAATCTGATTATGTGAACAGGCTTGGAAAAAATGGGTTTGTCCTTTGGAAAGCTGTTCAGCAGGCTCTTTGCGAAGAAAGAGATGCGTATTCTGATGGTGGGTCTCGATGCTGCTGGTAAGACCACCATCCTGTACAAGCTCAAGCTTGGAGAGATCGTCACCACTATCCCTACCATTGGTGAGTAGTAACTTTTATCTTATACCTGATTTGTTTTGTCGAATATTTCACTTGTTTTATATGAGAAGCTGAATTTTCCTCTTTGTTTTTAGGGTTCAACGTTGAGACTGTTGAATACAAGAACATTAGCTTTACCGTGTGGGATGTCGGGGGTCAAGACAAGGTAACAGTCATTCCATTTTTTTTGTTTGTTGTCGATCATCCAATAATGATGTCATCTGTTAAAAAAGGGTTTGCTTATTAGGTTCAGTGTTGGTATTATGTGCCCACACTCTACATTTGATAAGCTAAATCAGTTCAGCTGGAATTTTGAACTCTCTTTGATCCTCAAAGAGATGTCTTTTTCTTGCTTATATTCCCAGATTAGCACCTTTTCTTTGTGGACTATGTTTTCTCATTTGGGTCCTGCTTGTAGAATTGATAGAACTTTACTAATCTAACTACCTCCTCCTTGTGCTCATTTAGATCCGTCCATTGTGGAGACATTACTTCCAGAACACGCAGGGACTCATCTTTGTTGTGGACAGCAATGATCGTGATCGTGTTGTTGAAGCCAGGGATGAGCTTCACAGGATGCTCAATGAGGTAATCTCACTCAACACTTGCCTCTATGCCTTTGTATAGCGGCCACAGACCATATGGTTGTTTTACTTTGTGATGTTTTACTGGCAGGATGAATTGAGGGATGCAGTTCTGCTTGTTTTTGCTAACAAGCAAGATCTTCCCAACGCGATGAACGCTGCTGAGATAACCGACAAGCTTGGGCTCCACTCCCTCCGCCAACGACACTGGTGAGTTAAAAAACACAGAACTAGCTTTTCTCGATACACAGTCTATTATTACTCATGGCATGTGAGCTCATGTGATCATTGTAATGACAGGTACATTCAGAGCACATGTGCCACCTCAGGAGAAGGTCTCTATGAGGGACTTGACTGGCTCTCCAACAACATCGCAAACAAGGTATCATCTACTATCTACTCTCTCTTGTAGCAACTCCAATTTTCGTTTATAATCTGAGTTTGACACACTTAAATGTCTCTATGATTTGCAGGCATAGAAGGGATGTTAGCCAGATTCCTCTTTTGCTTTTGTTTGGTTTATATAAATCAAAGAAGGGATCTGTTTCGCTAGTACTAAAAGATTTATTATTATATTCTTCTTCTTCGTCTCTTATCTCAAACTCAGATCATTTCACACTTTTGTATTTTCCCTTTAAATAACTCGTTACTTTTCGCCTCTTCTTCCCGAATGAGTATATCATTTTTATCTTATCTTTGCATCTGTATTTCAAAACAAAAATTGAACAGTTCATATCTTAGAAATGAGGGTGACTGTTTTTTGGTATATTTATTTTGTTCAAGCTTGAGATTCGAAGATACACGCAAAAATTAATGAGACACACATTATAGAGATTAGACAATAAGAAAAAGGGACGAAATCAAATTACATTTTGAAGACCGCCAATGCATTTGAAACCAGAGATAGCATGTGTGGTTGTTGACCGGACACATACCACTCACTGCCCGGTAAAAAACCCACCTAAATAACCGACAATTTTAACTCCTGATGACATTCAAGCAGCGGACGGTGCGGTCACGTAGTTGACGCGTCCAACATCAGTAAGAGCAGTGATAAACGGCTTCAGATTCACCAGATCGGCCTCTGTTTCGGCAACGCCTAAAGGTTTCTTGTAGTCCAAGGAGTCATCCTTGTAAATATCCCACCATTTGTTCACTAGCATTTTTATGTCTTCTCTGTCCATGTTGGCTTCCTTCCCGGTGTATCTCCACGGCTTTGAACCCTATTAACGAATAAAAAAGATTTTCCGAACTCAGAAACAAACTCATTGTTTTGAAAAACAAAAACAAATCCGGGAGCAAATATAACTTACCGCCGCACAGTAGTGCACCACTTTGACTTTATCAAGCTCTACATTTTCTGGGTGGCGCCATAGCATCGCAAGGACGAGATTGTACACCAAAGGAATCGGCTTGTAGATTTTCTTGAAGTACATGTTGAGAAAATCCTGCACAAACAAATCCACAAAAAAAAAAAAATATTAAAAAAAAAAAACAGATGTAAGGAGAGCATAACAGGGAAATGCAAGCTTAAGTTAATATTTTTCCCTTACCTGTTCAGCGAAAGGAGTCGGAGGAGTAATTTGAAGAGTTTTCAGTAGGTCCTCGTAAGTCTCGAGGTTAGGCTCGAACAAGAACATCCCTGCGTTGAAGTAAAGAGCCGGCGGCTCTCCAAGCTCTGCCTTTGGCCACTGAACTTTCTCCGGGCACTGTTGACAATATCCGATCTTGTATTGCGGCGTGTGGCTCCACGTCTTCTCGCAGAAACAATCCATCACAGCGTAGAAATAGCCATCAGGAAGATCGAACAGGTGGTCGATGTTCTCGTAAACTTGAATGTCACCGTCTAAATATATCATTTTACTATACTCCACAAACTGCACATAACACGGAACAGAGCATGAACCCAACTTACAACATCAGAAACGACGACGTATTGTCAAAACACTAAAAGTAAAAGGGATAGTATGGAAACGACGACGTATCATATGTACCTTCCAGATACGGAGTTTAGAGTAGTTGATGACGTAATAAGCCATGGCAAACTGAGTTTGGTTATCGGGTGGGTAAACGGGTTCGATTTCACGGACAATGCAGCCTTGTTCCACCAGTATACGACGGTGCTCCTCCGGAACGTCCGGTAATATAGCAACAACGAGTGGATACGACGATTTGACTTTCCTCAACCCCTTGGCTAAACCTACGACTCCTTTCACGTAATCACCGTTACCAGCGAGAAACGTCACGTAAGCTCGACCGCCGCCATAGATCGTCGGCGGTGAAGGTTTTGTTATTGTTACGGTGGATTTAGCAGCGGTGGTTTGAGTAAGCTCCGGAGCCATGTGAGAAACACGTGATCTGCTGAGAGAGTGATGAGAGAGATGTGATGATTTAGAGTTTTACTAATGATCGACTTACGGTGTGGGATGAACGGGGTTTAATATAGACGCTTGGATTGGTTACGATTATAAAATCAGGAACGTACACGTGTAAATAGGAGATGGAACGGTAGTGATTGGCGTTTTGGTGAAAGTTCTGGAACGAACGTGGGACCGTAAACGGGAAAGTTTAAACAAACGGTTAAAAAATACGGGAAAACGCTAGAAGCAGCTAGCTAAGTTGGATACAGAAAATTTATCATTCTCTCGGATTTGGGCTCATAGTGTACAAAAAATAGGCTTACAAAGGCCCAGAAAAACCGAACATCATCATAAAACTCGGGACTCTTTGTAACAGTAAAAGTTAAACAGAGAGAATGGTAATGAAATTGCTGTGTGTATGGAAATTTGAATCACTTGACCTAACAGGTATGTATAATCTTTATTTATTTTTTTGGAATCATAGTTCAGTTTCGTTCTTGAGAGGGTTTCATCAACGCTATCAAGCCCTTCACTAGTTTGCATCAATCCCATTTCTCTGGTCCTAAGTCCGAGTTTGATGTCACAGTTATGAGACTGGAGCCTGATTACGTTTTGGTTTTTGGAGTTTGCTTGACTCTTTAGTGTTACAAACTTCGTTAGTCTCACCAAATGCCAAAAAGGTACAAAACTATAAAAAATCTATAACTCAAGCCGAAATAGAAAAAAAAAAAAAAAAAAAAAAAAAGGTATGAAAGCTTTGATTATGTGATACTCTGTACTTGGTATTTGCGAAGAAGAAGATTCAACAATTTGCTACACAAACATGACAAACACTAACCTCTCGCGTCTCTTTAATAATACAGTCGGCATATATTGTGGTCTAAAGAGGCTTAAACCTCATACTTTGTGATCACAAAACCGTATAACACACTGCTGAATCCTGATCATGTTGACATTGACTCTAAATTCTAAAACGTGTTTTTGTGTTGCAAAATTTGACAAAGAAATTAGAAAGAAAACAAAAGAAGAGAATAATTATGAAAGTGGATCTCTTACGATGTCTTCGAATTTCCTGCTAAAAGTGTCGGTTGTATTTGAGCTTTGACTTTTATTACCTTAATCATCGCCGGTCATCTTTTATTTGGGTTCCTAGTTAATATTATTATTCATATGTTTCCATTATTGTATATGCACACAGTTTACTCATGCTTTTTCATTTTTTTCTTCACTAAGCTTTGAAATTGTTGCTTTTGAGAGATCACGTTCCGACCAATCAAAGTCAACCACATAGTGTCCGAGTTTAGGCAACATGCATAACCATATTTTACTTCCGAGTTTATAATTTCACTTCATTTTTATTTTACGGTTAATGGTAGACTTTTTTTACTAACCTTTTCATATTGTAAAGACTTCTTACAATTCCTTATTTTGTTCTCTTTTCTTCTAGTATTTTCTCACGTATAATGGAATTGTATTTTTCAGAAATATTTTTCCAATAGAGAATATAATATTGTATGGATCAATATTAATATAACCTATGCAAAATTACTTTAATTTATTTCAGTAAGATAATCATTCTGGAAAAAACTATAATCATTTACTTACTTAAAAACTATAGCAATTGCTGGAGTGTTGAAAAAAAAGGAATAAGTGTAATTATTATGGGTAATTACCTAGTTATACTATTAAAGATTGAGAATAGATTTATCTAATCATTACAAAAACAAAGAAAAATGTATACAATGTTTAACCATTTCAGAAAATAGTAACATGGAGTTCTTTTTAATTTGAGGTTTGATTATGTCATGTTAATCTTTACAGGGAATAGACATCATATCACAGGGGTTCATCTAAGACTATTTGTTACACTGAACCTCAACCAGGAAATGGATCTCCCAAGACTTATTAGACCATATTACTTTTGTGAATACAGATATATATATACACGTCTTTATAGATGCGTTGACGGAAAAAAGATAGATGCTTAAACATGTATGTTCTATCTTCTATGGTCTGATTCTCATGCCATCACATGCTGTAAAGTTTAAAGTTCGAAGAACTACTCTCTTATTCGAGGGTTTCTCCTCTGCGTCATCATTCCTACGTCATCGATTTTACGCCATGCAAAATGAGATATTTATAACAATGTACACTGTACAAATAAATAGAATCCCAAAAAAAAAAAAGTGTTTTCATGTTTTACATTAAAGGAGATGTAACACGACTCCACTCCATAACCTAAAAATGGATCCATCAACATAAGAGATAAATAAAGTAATATAATATCTCATCAGCCATCTTTCCTTTTAGAGTTTTTTTAGATTTTGGGATTGACCTAATAGAAGAAAATAGTTAGTTGGAGGCTTATAATGTGTTATGTCGCATCAAATCGGAGGAATTAGACATAACCAAGATGACAAAAAAAAAAAAAAAAAAGAGGCTTTGTGTATGAATATGACATAATTTTGAGCGTGTAAGTTATAAAGATTGTGGGTTCTACTTTTGGTACTTCTTCTGATTTTGATAGCTCGTAAACGTCTCTTTTCTTTCTTTATTTCTTATATAAGGTTTTTTCTTTGCAAATCTTAGGGGTTTTACCTCATAAGATCCTTGAAATGAGGATGCTCTAACCTATATATTTATTCGAAATGACACGTCTTCACTTGTGTGTGTGTGTATTTGTCCTGATCAGTTGAAAGTTAGAAGCAGACGACAAGTGTCTAATATATAAAGACATCGAGATCTGATTCGGTTCTCAGGTTCATACACTTAATCGGGAGTGTTGCTTTCCCCTAGAACTATGGAGGCTACTGTTTGTGTGTCGTTGTGTAACAATATAAAATAATCTTGTGTTTACTTGCATTACTTAAACTCTTTTTATTACTTTAATATATATTTTTTGTTTTGAAATGAAATTTCGACCCTCCTTTTTAGCAGAGTGGATGTCTCTCACACGTACGCATCAGATTGTATGTGCTTCTAATTAGTATGCTATAATCCTATATGTAATCCTTCCTATATATACATCTGTTTTCGGTTTTTCTTACTTAGTACATATAGAAATTAAATCATGCATGTGTTTGACTAAAAAATACTATTCATTAGCTGTACACAGTTTTGATAAAATACCATAGAACTTACCAATCGAATAAACATTAGAGACTTAGAGTATAGACGTGTTTTACCATATACACATTAATCATTTTTATATATAGACATTAGTCATAATTTCATTATATGCATAAATAACAGAAGTAGTACGAGTACGTTATTTTATTATTACGGTCTCTCTTTACTTCCTCATGAGTATTTTCATAATCAGTAACTTTTGATATTGTTATTGTTCCTGCGTGTCATGGGTTTTATGTTTTGTAATCGGTGTTCGCATTTTTTTAAAATGGAAATTTTAATAAAAGAAAAAAACAGTTTTTTTTTATATTGTTTCGATAATAATTCCACCGTGCGAGACAAAATTTTGTTGAAAATATCCTATTGATAATGTTGGTATAAAAGTATCTCTCATTCTGAGAAATATATATAAATACGCATAGAAGTCGTAGTGATAGACAGAGGAAAGACGTCTCTTTGACTGCTCTACAATCGAAAACAAAAAACATTTAAAAAAATGTCCCAAAAATTCAAAAGCAAAGTCCTTATAACTCGCCTAACTCCATTTCTCATCTGACTTTGCTTTAAATGTCAATAGTCCTATGTTATTTAGCTACTTCAGATTTAGGACATTAAGTCTTATATATACTGTATACTGAAAGATATACCCGTCGGAGTTAATAAAATCTTATATGCTTACCAAGTAATAGTTTCTCCATGTTTGCTAATTTCAAGAAAGCGACGAAAACATAACTCGTTATCTCAAGAACGATAAGTAATAATCAGAATCAGTTTGAACAAGGCTACAAATAATACACAAACAACTTACTAGAAACTTTATTAAAGATTATTAAAAAAAAAACACTTAATTAACAAAGAAAGATAAAAGCATAAGAGTGCGTGTTACTATACATCTGAACAAGTCAAAGTGTCAAACCTTGGTATTTTTTAATTACACAAACAATTGACCATGAGTTAATTATTTTATTTATATTTAGAATAGTTGCAAAATTCCACTTTAGAAACAGAATAAAAATAATAATTGAACATCACACTTATGCCGTGTTCCAGTCACTCTTCAACCTTCTACTTATTTTTCAAAATATCCCTTTTATAAAATACTACTTTTTAATTAAAATTGTTTTATTATATTTTTGCGTTCCTTGGGTACTATATATATAAAAATTGGCACATTGCTTAATCACTTCAAATCTAATCCAAAAAAACCATTCACACACCATCGTCTCCTCTCTTTCTCTAACTCTTTTCCTTTCTTTTTTTCTTTTTTTTCTTTTTGATTAAAGAAATGGAAGATTACGAGCGCAACTCAAACTCTCCAACTCATCATGAAGAAGATTCTGATGTACGGAAAGGTCCATGGACCGAGGAAGAAGATGCAATCCTAGTCAACTTCGTCTCTATCCATGGTGATGCTCGTTGGAACCACATCGCTCGTTCCTCTGGTATATAAATCTTCTTATCAACCTCTAAACTAAACCCACATACGTACACTAGTTACTTTTACAAAAGCCTATATATACAGGATCGAGGTAGATAAAACTTATACATATATGTGTGCAGGGCTTAAGAGAACTGGTAAGAGTTGCAGATTAAGATGGCTTAACTACTTACGTCCAGATGTTAGAAGAGGCAACATCACTCTCGAAGAACAATTTATGATCCTCAAACTCCATTCTCTCTGGGGCAATAGGTAATATATATGTCTACACACAACTCCGCTTTATATATCTTTTTACTACTACACTAGTTTAGTATATATGATCGATCAATGTTATTAATATATATATAAAATAAAAAGGTGGTCGAAGATTGCACAGTATTTACCGGGAAGAACAGATAACGAAATAAAGAACTATTGGAGAACGCGAGTCCAGAAACAAGCTAAACACCTAAGATGCGATGTTAATAGCAATCTCTTCAAAGACACTATGCGTAATGTTTGGATGCCCAGATTAGTGGAAAGGATCAACGCCCAATCATCACCCTCCACGTGTGAGCTATCCGAGTCCATGATCACCGACCCAGGTCAACGTGTCGACGAACCGAGTCCGGTCGAACCGGGTTTCCTTCAATTCAACCCGATTCATCATGATCAGCAACTCGTACCGGCTGCGGAGGTATCAGCAGCGTCTTCGAATTCGCCGGCTGAGACGTTATCGGACGTTGTGGTGAACGGGTCGGCGGGTTATGACCCGATCGGTCAAACGGGTTTCGCGGGGTTCAACGATTGGGGCTGTGTTGGTGGGGACAACATGTGGACCAATGACGACGAGAGTTTATGGTTCTTGCAGGACCAGCTCCTCTCCCACGAAACGACATCGTATTCCTATAACTAAGAGGGAACAATATATACGATTACGATACGTTTTCGAAGGAATTCAATTGCGTCACGTTTGCTGTAATACTTCATTCGTGCGTGATGCCATTTTAGATACGGCCTTGGTTTACGAATCTTGACTTACTTAATTGTTATTATTTATGCTTTTTTTTTTTTTTTTTCTTTTCTTTAATTTCCCAGACTATATTAAGATCCGATCATCTCACACGAGGAAACTGTGATTTGTGATATATATATAACTATGTGAATTACTCAATAGTACGTTCTTTTTCTCTTTTGATGTTGAGAACAGAAAAGGTACTAGCTAGTAGACTATAATAACTCGATCAGTTGAATTCGTTTTATCCGTTTCATATGTATATATAGGACTAAATATACAAAGATTGAGTTAAATAATGCTCATCCAACTATCCAAGTATATAACTTCGTTTCCGACTGTGCGGTTAACCATTGGCGCACGTATAGTTAAACACTCACCGTTTATTATGTTCATATAGTTGATGTAATTTAAACCCATGAATATATTTGAAACATATACTAAATTGGTACGTAGCCTAAGATGTCATATACATATACTACACGTAAAATATGCAGGGTGTCGACTCGAAATTACAGTTGAAACATAAACTTATGCAAAAGACATATGTGAATTACTCAATAGGATGTTCTTCTTTTTCCTTTTGAAAACTGACAAGTAAAATTTTACTTAGACGTTGTAATGGAAAAAAAAAAATAAGACTATAAACTCTCGATTAACTTTAATTCGTTTTCAAAAGAACCAACGTCATATATGGTTTGGTCTGATTCATATTAAGAGTAAACATACGAGGGTCGAACTATAAAAAACGCTCATCCAAGTATATAAAACTCGTGAATATATATATGATACATAAACAAATTGTTAACAAATGTCGTATATACATACACCACGTGTAAAATATGCATGGTCGACTCAGATCCGATAATAAATAACAATTGAAACATAAACTTATGCAAAAGAACTCACATTATTTATATACTCGCGTTATAAATTCATATCAATCAACAAGTGATTATCGATCGATGACAATCCAGTAAAAACTTTCATCTATAGGTTTGATCCCACGCGTAGGTCCTGTAATAAACTCCGACATGCGATACATCAACCTCCAAAGTTCTTTTATTCGTCGTGTTCTCGTCTCCTCGAATTTTCCCAGTCGACGACAAAGACAAAGCCTCCACCGTGGTCTCCGACTCGTCATTAGGCGTAAGACGGCAACTCATCAGTGCTCTAAAGAACATCACTAGGGATGCCATGCGTACCTCTCAGTCTCCGACCTTGTATGATGCTTTAATTATGTAATAGCATTGAAGACAAGCATATATTAATATGCATATATATATATATATGTGTGTGCCTTTGCGTGTTTGTTGTGGCAGTGTGTGTAATAGTCTTAACAACCATTGTTGAGTATCTTGTAATTTAAGAGGCACATCGAGAGGAAATCTATTTTTGGTAAGTTTTTTAATTTACCAAATCACCCTTTGAGGGAGTGCCAATATGGTGTTTACGGTAGAAAAGCAAAGGGTGTTATGGTGTATTACTACACTTGTAGTTTTGATGTTGAGGATCAAGAAACAAGTTCATGTTCATCAAGAAACATATACATATCGAGATGAGATGGCAAGATTGGATTTAAGAAAATATTCCGATCTAATCTTTTTTTTAAATATATTTCTCCTATCGGTCAATGATAGTTGGACAACCTTCTAGATTTCCTTTTGACAACGATCGAACCTTTTTAGTAAACTAATACAATAAAATTATCTTTGAAAACTATGGTTATACTAGTATAGTACACGGTATTAATTTTTGATATGTTATATTCAAGTAACTAACTATATTTGTATTGATTATGTGCCCTCTATGGTTGAAAATACCACTATATCTTCTCTAACATATATATTTATCTTTTCAGTTTGATACCACTAAAAAAAATTTGACTCCCCTTTTTTCACGTTTTCCTTCAAGTCTCTTACGGGTAAACCATTCTCTCATGTCAGTCGCTTAAGAGAAGCTTTTATACTATAAAACCGCTTAGTCTACACATTCCTTGTGCAGGCTTACTGGTCAGAGGAGGAATGCTGAACTTGCTTTCGGTTGCTAAAGCTTTAGCTCCACAAGTGGAGTTCAGCACTCTCTAAGTGACTCCGAAGGTTTAACAATTCTTTCGCGCTCAAAAACCCCCAATTCCCAATCTTCGCCCTCGTTGAAATCAGTCAAGTGTTGGAAACCCTAACTCCTGAATCGGAGTAGGTCCTGGTCGAATCGAAGCTCAAGCTCGTGGACGGGATGATTTCGGAACCCTAATTACAATGGGTGGTACGGACGCAAAGGACATCCTCGGGTTGCCGAAGACTCCACTGTCCTTAACGCAGGAGAAGAGATCTCGACCCCAGAAAGAGTCCCATAGAAAGCCCGATGGCATTTCTCGCGAGGTGAGTTCTGACGAACCGAAATAATCCTTCGGAATCGATTGATTTTATTAGCTTTTCAATGACTTTTAGTTTCCGTCGCCGTTGTTGAATTGCAGGTTTATGCGCTTACCGGCGGCGTTGCTCCTCTTATGCCTTCAATTGATGTTGCCCATTTAAAGCGCCGTCCTCCTGCAGATGAAAAGGTCGGCTGCTGCTTTTACGATTTATCTTGTTGTTTTGAGTTTTGAGTTGATTCTTGTTTTGTATGATTCTAGTGTTAGTATGCTAAGCGCCCTTATCATCTCACAGGTTGCTTGGCAATGGCTCCCCTTCACCAGTTCTGCTAGGAAAGATGATTTGCAGCTTTACCATTGGGTTAGTTCTTTGTCTGTGAAAACGCCATTGTTTGAAAGAGCTTAACCATTTCGTTCTTTCTAATGCCATGCGTTTGGGAATTTATATCTTCACAGGCTAGAGTGGTGAATAATGTTCCACCGACAGGTGATTACTCCTTTGCCAAATACAACAAGGTATTCTACTGCGTTCATGATTGTCTCTCTTAGTTTCATTGAGTTACTTTCACTTTCCTCTCTCAGTTTCTGCTTTTTCTGACTTCATTTTCTAACTCCTATATAATTGTTTGTATCTTTGCGTGAATGCAGTCAGTTGATATTTTGAAATACACAGACGAGGAGTATGAGAATCATTTAACGGATCCTGTAAGTGTCTGCTCAAGGAAGAGTTTCTGTTTGATTCTATTATCTATGAAGTATAGACATTTCCTGCATAGTTTCTGTACATGCTTGTTTTGGATTATGTCATCTTGGTTGATTGTGCTCCAACTTTCAGGTGTGGACCAAGGAAGAGACAGATCAGTTGTTTGAATTCTGTCAAAATTTTGATCTCCGCTTTGTTGTAATAGCTGATCGATTTCCGGTATCACGGACTGTCGAGGAATTGAAGGATCGTTACTACAGTGGTATATGATGCACCTTATCTGTTTTCAGACCATTATACGTTCACTTTTACCTTGTCCTTTCATTTGTTTTCATCTTTTATCTCTCTGTTTCTATTTCATGTTGCGCCAGTGTTCATTTAAACAATACAAGTACTGAGATGACTCTTACGTACTTTCTTTTGTAGTAACCCGGGCCTTGCTGCGTGCTAGAGCTCAGTCTCCAGCAGATGTTGCAAACCATCCTCTGATGAAGGTCAACATCCTCTTATGTTTCTTCATAGCAAACTATGAAATCTTATATACTATATTTTTAGTTTATTGTGGCAATCTATCCTTGTCGTGTTATACAGAGTGAGCATTTCTCTAAATGTTGTTTTACTATGTGTTGGCATAAACAGGAGCCTTACGATATTACACGTGATAGAGAGCGCAAGCGAGCATTGTCTGTAGTCCTGTCCCAGAGTAGGCATCAGGAGAAGAAAGATGCTGAGGTTTTTGTTCTATTTATATTTGAATGTACGTGCAGCCAAATAGATATAATTAGTTCTTTGTTTTCTCTTACCCTTCTCCCGCGTATGCAGATTCTGGCTGAGGCTAAAAGAATCACAGAGATGCGATTGGCAGCACGTGTAAGTGTTGTCTTTAAATAAATATATGCACTCGTACTAAGTAAAAAACAATGGATGTGTCTGCCTGATCTTGTTTCTGAAACTATCTGTCTTACTGGCTGTCCAGCGTGCAGAAGAGCCTGATGTGTCTGCAAATGAGAACGCCGGTCTTGATAAAGCTGATGGGATAGTTTCAGGGCGTAGTATATCTCCATCATCTAATTCTCAACTTCCTGCTACTGCTGTGGCTCCATCAACACTAACTATGGCAGATTATGCCTCTACCCTTGCTTCCCTGCGTATGGTCAGTGTCTCTCTCTTCTCCTCTTTCCTTTTCCACTTGGTTATCCAGTTTATCTTACTCTTTGAATCTGATAATTTTTTAGCTCCATGTATACTTGAGAACCTATGGACTTGAACAAATGGTCCAAGCTGCAAGCTCTGCTGTTGGTCTTCGAACAATCAAGCGTGTTGAGCAGACTCTGCAAGATCTCGGGGTTTGTATTTGATTCTTGTTCTGTTAAACTCTTTCTATTTGTCTTAAATCCTTTGGTTATCTTTCCCATTGATTGATGAATGAGACTAAATGCTATAAAGGCCTCCCGTACTGAAGTTAGGGTAGTAGCTAGTAGGTTCTTATCAGATAATTTGATTAAAGCTACTTTACAGGTTAATTTGAAGCCAAAGGTTCCTACGAAAACCGTGTGTGATGAGCATCTTGAGTTACGAAAAGAAATATTAACACTACTGAATCTTCAGAAGCAGGTAAACCATATGATACAAGTCTATCTCACATGGATTAACAGATATACACTGTATTTGTTTTTCTAACTTCCTGCCAAACATGGTGTGCTCGTAATTTCAGCTGCAATACAAGGAATCAGAAGGTTCATCACATCGTGAAGGGTTATATGCGGCAATGCCAGACACGCCAAAAGTGAGCATCAAACTTTGTTTATTAATTCTTACAACAGTTTCATCTTCCTAATTGACCTCTCTAATCTTTCTGTATATGATCAGGATCGTGTGTTTGCATCAGACCCATTCAGTTTTGGAGGTACAATTCCTTATTTTCGTGGTTTCAGCATTG